GAATATAATTCTGTACCTGGAGTTAGGAAGACCTGAATTCCAGTCCATTTGCTAGCTATGTAATCCTGGCCAAGTCACTTAACCTCTGTTTGCCTTAGTTTCCTCTCTGTAAAATGGAGATAATAATAGTACCTACCTCAAAGGGTTGTTGTGAAGATAAATTAGATAATATTTGAAAAAAAAGCACTTAGAACAATGCCTGGCACATAGTAGGTGATATATCAGTGCTTATTCTCTTCCCTTGACAATAGAAAATGTACTTGCCAATAACAAACTTAGCTCTGTCATTGTTTTGTGTATAGGACAACCTTGGCTTCAGGTTCTAAAGGTCAGTTGGCTGTCACTGCTGATGAGTAACAGGATGTCAAGACTATGGTACCTCTTCTATTTGAAACATCTCCTACATCTATCAGAGCACCAGGGTCACAGGCACAGAAGTGCTCTGACAGGTCTTAGGGATAAATAGGAATTCACATCCTATCTGAGTTGACATTTTAAACCATATCTCATTGCATTTTTTTTAAAAAGCTCTACTTTGTATTTAAGTATTTTAAGTATGTTTTTGCAACATCATATTCTAGATGTGAAAGTATGAAACAGATGCAATGTGCTTGCTATTCTTTATATTATGAGGAGTGATAGTTTTCAGTATTCAATTTTTTCTATAGATTAATGCTTTGGCAGAGAGCAAATTAAAGTTTGGATCAAGGATACAGACATACAATCATATTCTGCCTAACATCATTGACTGGTTCAGTGAAATATAGTATTAGAAGAAACTACATTATAAAGTACAGTTATTTCTATAGGTAGGAACAATGTAATAATAGCCAAAGGATATAACATTGAATGTTAAAACTTAAAATGAGTTCTAACCATTGTTATTTAGGGCATGACAATAGTAACCCAAAGACCAAATAAGTAAATTTAGACTTATGGATCATCAGAGAGGAGAGGTGAATATGTTAGTAATATATTAGTATTTTGGTTAGAATAGTTAGTAATATAAAAATCAATAATTAAAAATTAGTGAACACATAATTTTGAAGTATGCAAGCATATGGATCTTGATAAAAATTAAAAATCAGAAAGAAGGGACGATGCTCATTATTGCTTCTCCAATAATAAGTATAGAAGAAAGGGATAGATTTGAATGAAAAGACCTGAGTTTGATAAAATCTAAAAATTCAGCATAAAGACAGAAGTTTAGTTAGAATCATTGTTTCCACATACTCATCAAATCCCTTTCTTTTGAAAAAACACAATAAAATAATTACAAACAGAACATTAATCTGCTAGTTATAGGTAATGAACAGTCAGATGAGAGATGAAAATACTAATATATGTGTTGTATATACATAAATATAATCATATGTATAACTGTACTTTTGCATATACTTATATATATACCTGTTCACCATGTTAGAATGTAGGCTCCTTAAGATAAGGATTTTCATTTTTGTATTTGTTTTCCCAGTACCTAACACAGTGCCTGGTATTAGGTAAGAGTTTAATGAATGTTTGTTGACTGATTGGTAGATGGTCATTTAATTGAGACTTTGGGAAAGTCATCTTTGGGGACCTCATTTTCCTCATCTATAAAATGGGGTGGGGAGAGAGTTAGACTTCTAAGTTCTCTTCCAGCTCTTTATCTATGAATTTATGTCCTATGATCCAAATACCTGCTCTGAAAAAAAATATTTACTTTATTGCAAATATGTCTGTTGAATGTTGTCTATATTCCTATCAGGAAATATCTGTGGCTCAAGTTGTATGATAGTAATATGCATGTTGGATGATTAAGTTTACTATCTCTAAAAGAAAAGAAACTAGACTTGAGATTTTATTGGTTTAAGGAGTTTCCAGTTTTGGTCATTTCCTCTGTCAGTGTGTGTGGGGATTGTCTCTAAACTTATAATCTTAGGAAAATAGCTAATATAGTGAGAAGTTAAGTGATTTGCCCAGGGACACATAAGCAAGTATATATCAGCGAGAAAACCAATATATGTGTTGTATATACATAAATATATGATTATATATGTAAATGTACTTTTGCATATGCTTATATATGTGCTTGTCCCTTATGTTAGAATGTAAACTCCATGAGTGTATGGATTGCTTCATTGAATCTAGGTCTTCCTGAGTTTAAGGTTGTTCGCTATTTTATTCTCTGACTTACTATTTTAAATGGCCAGTTTAGAATTTCAAAAATTAATGTGAAATTAACAATGGAATATTTTTTGAACTAAATATGTGAGAACCCATGAAAACTGTATTACCTATGGCCAGTCTACCAGCTTTCCAGGGCTCCTTTAATGGAGAATTGGTTTTTATTTCAAAATATACTCTATAAAAAGAAAGTAGTCTTTTAAGACATACCCTTAAAAATAAGTCAGTGAAGAAAAATCATTCCAGATTGAAAATATTCCTTGGGGAATAGTCAAATAATATATGTATTTGGCTTAACTCCCCTCTAGAATGTAAATTCCTTGAGGATTGCATCTCACTCATCTTTGCGTCCCTATCATCATTCATGGTGCCTTAGACCATGACTGAGTACTATCGGTTTAGTCTGGGTACCACATTTTAGGGAAAACATTAATGAACTACAGAACATTAATAGAAGAAATTGTGGATGTTTACCCTGGAATCTTGGGAGATATGATGGCTCATTCAAGTATTTTAAGGGCTCCATATAGAAGAGTAATTGGACTTGTCCCGCTTAGCTCCATAGGCCAAAGCTAGAAGCAATGAGTTAAAGTACTTAAAAGGCAAATTTAAGCCTGATGTGAGACAAACTTTCTAAGAATTAATATTATCCAAAAGTAGAATGGCCTGCTTCGTGATGCAATGCAATGCACTACAATGCAGTGTTCAGGCAAAGACTGGAATACTACTTGTCAGGCTTAATAAAGTCAGGACTCTTCTTGAAGTGTGGCTTAAACTAGCTGGCCTTTGAGGTGTTTTGGTTTCAGGGATTCAATTAGTGGGCCATGGAAGATGCAAAGGACGGTTGTTACCAGAAGGAAATATTTCAGAATTCAAGATCTTGTGGAAGGACATTAGAAAACAGGAGAAGTGGTTGAAGGAACTGAGAATGTTTTTACTGAACAAGTGAGAAATTAAGAAGACATGATTGCTATCATGTGAATAAGTCTTTCATTCTTATTTTTATTGGCCCAAGAGGACAAAGCAAAGATCAATGAGAAGAAGTTGTCATGGGGTGGATTTAGAAATGATGCAAGGGAAACTTCTTAAAAATAGAGCCAGCTAAACATGAAATGTACTACCTTGGAAGGTCAATAGTAGCTTTTTCCTCAACAAGTAATGCAGTGGATAGAGTGCCAGACCTCATGTCAGAAAGACTCTTCTTCCTGTGTTCAAATCTGGTTTCAGACACTTACTAGCTCTTTGACCCTGGGCAAGTCACTTGAAATCCTGTTTGCCTTAGTTTCCTCATCTGTAAAATGAGCTGGAGAGGAAATAGCAAATCACTGTAATATCTTTGCTAAGAAAATCCTAAATGGAGTCACGAAGAGTCAGGCATGACTAAAATAACTGAAAAACAAAAACTGCTACCTTGGGGGATGAATAGTAGCTTTCTTCTCAATAGAGTTCTTCAAAAACTGAATGATCAGTTGTCAAATATATTAAAGAATTCTTGTTTAGGTATGATTTGGAGTAGAGGTCCCTTTCAACTCAGTTTCTGTGATTCTGAAATATTTGAAAAGGGGAATTTATGTGGGAGAATCAAAGAAAGTTACAGGGAGATGATTACGATACCTGAGCTAGGAACTGAAGGAAAAGAAGGATTTCAATAAGCAAAAAATTTATCTGGAGTCTATTCCAGAACGGGGCAAGAGGAGGCCAGAGAGATGCCACAGAAATGGCAAGTTGAAATAAGGTGAAAGAGAAGAGTCAGGCTTGATTTCATCAGAGATTGCATGCCAAGATGCATATGAATAAAGCTCAAGAGGTTAGCAAATTGTGGAGGACCAGACCAAAGAGGTTAAATGGTATTTAGTAAGTAATGGGAACCTACCATAAGTTTTAGAGTAGAAGAGCAGATAACTGGATTTCTGCCCTATTTACTTTCTAAGTAAACCTCGAAAGGCACTAAAGCTCTCTGGATCTCAGTTACTTTATTTTTAAAATAATGGATTGGACTAGGTGATCTCTAATATTCTTTCTATTTCTAAATCCTACAAGCAAGGGAACCTTGCATATTTTTTAAAATCAAACTTGTAATCTCTTTAGTATGGAGAACACCTGATTCCTACTTCCTTAATCCAAATCTAACTCTCTGTTTGCTAAACCACATTTGCCTCTTTAAGACTTGCATTATAGTAGGCATTTAGTAAACAAATGAAGGAATAAATGAGAAAAATATTATTAAGCCATTGCTCTGTGCCAAGTATCTGAAGATAAAAATACACAAATTAAAGCAGTCTATATCTTCAAGGAGCTGACATTTTAATGAAGGAAGACAACACATGTAGGGGAGTGGTGAGTAGGCAGGAGTGTTTTGGTCTAGGAAGTCACATAAATGCTGAATGAAACCATGGGGAATTGGCTGACATGCTCTCTCTGGGATTAGTAAGGTTGATCTGATTACTGTTCCCAGAAGTAGAGGGACAAGGGGAAGGAGGAGGAAGAAGAGGAAAGACGTGCTGCATGATGGGTGTAGAACTGTTTGGATGTGGTAAACTTGCACAAATCAGGAGAGTATAATCTGGGAGCAGGTTGTGCTTGTTTACATAAATAACTGCTTGATTGTATTGAATTAAGTCCATAGCAGATTCTAGTATCCCCAAATATCAGAAGGAAGGCATAACACTTAGAAATTCAAAAATATTTTTCTAGTTCTCTTTCAGTTATTCATTTAGAAGGAAAAAAAAACTTGATAAATCACCAAAACTGACATAAGACAGTTTGAAAACATTTTCTTGGTCAGGTCGATGGATGGATGTTTTCCTTGATGTGCCTGCTTTGTTTTTCAGCTTCAAACCAGTCTGACTGAACCAATGACATTATCCAAGTCCATCTCCCTCCCTCGAAGTGCATACTGGCACCACATCACACGGCAGAACAGTGTTGGAGAAATCTACAGTTTACAAGGCAAGTGGTTTTAACAACAAGGTGGCACCTCCATTAGCTGCCTTCATGTTGGACAAAATTCATGAAAATTGCTTTTTCATTTGTATTGGTTGTTTTCCCTGTATTTCAGTTTATCAACCGTCACCTTCCTCAGTGGGAGCCCTGAGTTTTATAGTGGCTTTTTTCAAGCTATCATTTCATAGACTAATGGTAAAAATTACCCCAAAAATCATTATGTAGGCTGAACAGTCAATTTGAACAGAAATTTGAGTAAAATACTATACAATGCATTTTATCAGTAGCTAAAATGTAGCTAACAATGAGGTCTATTTCATGCTAGGTTCTGTATAAGTTCTCTTTCTTGGCATCTTCTTTCCTTAATAGGATTGAATATCTGCTCAGGAGGCTGACTTCAGGCTTTGTAATAAAATCTACATAAAACTCCTTGCATAAGTTGCTTCGGTCTGAAATAGAAGCCATTCGGGGTGAATGTTTGCTTCAGTGTAGTCCCTGGAGAGAAGTGGTTAATTAACTAACTTGGGAACAACTAATTAGGTGAATAAAATGAATAGATAGAAAGTAATTAACCAATGGTAGCAGATTCTGCATACCCTCTGTAGCAGGAAGAGGCTTTCTTTTCAATCCCCTGTTTTGTTCTAAAATGAGAAGAGGCAACATAGGATCAGGAGAACTGGGTTCTAATGTTGACTGTGCCACTGGGTCACTGTAACCTTGGGTGAATTATAAAACTTCCATGGCATTTTGTTATTCCATCTCTAAATCAAATAGTTGGAATAAATTATTTCTAAGATGTCTTTCAGCCCTATTGTATATGAAATGTATTAATAATGACTTTCATTCAAATAAAATCAATAGTAAAGAAGTTACCTATGCTGATTAAGGCTGAATGAACCAGAAGACTGAATAAAATGAAGTCCAGAATGGATCTGATCCTAATATTTATTAAGAAGGAAGTAAGGAAGGAAAGAGAAGAAGGAAAGAAAGAAAGAAAGAAAGAAAGAAAGAAAGAAAG